TGTGTGTGTGTGTGTGTGTGTGTGTGTGTGTGTATGTGTTCTTCAATTTCTTTCATAAACTTTCGATAGTTTTCAGTGTATAGATTATTCACCTCTTTGGTTAGGTTCACTCCTAGGTATTTTATGGATTTTGGTGCAACTGTAAATGGGGTAGATTCCCTGATTTCTCTTTCTGTGGCTTCATTATTGGTGTATAGAAATGCAACCGACTTCTGTGCATTGACTTTATATCTATCTTGTGACTTTGCTGAATTCCTGGATCACTTCTGGCATTTTTTTGTGGAATCTTTTGGATTTTTCGTATAGAGTATTATGCCATCTGTAAAGAGTGAAAGTTTGAATTCCTCCTGTCTGATTTGGATTCCTTTTATTTGTGTTGCCTGACTGCTGAGGCTAAGACTTCCAATTTTATATTGAATTGCAGTGATGAGAGTGGATATCCCTGTCATGTTCCTGACCTAAGGGGGGAAAGCTCTCAACTTTTCCCCATTGAGATGATATTAGCTGTGGGTCTTTCATATATGGTTTTTTATGATCTTGAGATATGATCCTTCTGTCCCTACTTTCTTGAGGGTTTTTATCAAGAAAGAATGTTGTATTTTGTCAAATGATTTCTCTGCATCTATTGAGAGGATCATGTGGTTCTTGTCCTTTCTTTTATTGATGTGTGATGTATCATGTTGATTGTTTTGCAGATATTGAACCAGCCCTATATCCCAGGTATAATGTTTTTCAGATATTGAACCAGCCCTGCATCCCAGGTATAAATCCCACTTGGTTGTGGTGAATAATTCTTTTAATGTATTGTTAGCTCTGGTTGGCTACTATCTTGTTGAGGATTTTTGCATCCATATTCATCAGGGAGATTGGTCTGTAGTTCTCCCTTTTAGTGGGGGTCTTTGTCTGGGTTTGGAATTAAGGTAATGCTGGCTTCATAATATGAATTTGGAAGTTTTCCTTCCATTTCTACTTTTTGGAACAGCTTCAGAAGAATAGGTGTTAACTCTTCTTTAAATGTTTGGTAGAATTCTTCTGTAAAGTCATCTGGCCCTGGACTCTTGTTTTTGGGGAGATTTTTGATTACTAAATTTGATTTATTTACTGGTTATGGGTCTGTTCAAATTTTCTATTTCTTCTTGTTTCAGTTTTGGTAGTTTATATGTTTCTAGGAAATTGTCCATTTCTTCCAGATTGCCCATTTTATTGGCATATAGTTGCTCATATATCCTCTTATTATTGTTTGTATTTCTGCTGTCTTGTTTGTTATCTCTCCTCTTGCATGGTTGGTTTTATTTATTTGGGTCCTTTCCTTTTTCTTTTTGATAAAACTGGCTAGAGGTTTATCAGTTTTGTTAATTCTTTCAAAGCCTGGGTTCATTGATCTGTTTTATTATTTTTTTGTTTGGTTTGGGTGGTTTGGTTTGGTTTTGATAGCATTGATTTCTGCTCTAATCTTTATTATTTCCTATATTCTGCTGGTTTTTGTTTTTATTTGCTGTTCTTTTTCTAGCTCTTTAAGGTGTAAGGTTAGGTTGTGTATCTGAGACCTTTTTTCCTTCTTAGGAAGGCCTGGATTGCTATATACTTCCCTCTTATGACTGCCTTTGCTGTGTCCCAGAGGTTTTGGGTTGTGTTTTTATCACTTTATTGGGCTTCCATGTACTTTTAAATTTCCTCTTCAACTTTTTGGTTAGCCCATTCATTCTTTAGTAGGATGTTTTTTAGTCTCCAAGAATTTGTCATCTTTCTAATTTTTTTCCTGTGGTTGATTTCAAATGTTGTAGCATTGTGGTCTGAAAGTGTGCACAGTGTGATCTGGATCTTTTTGTATTTGTTGAGGGCTGATTTATGTCCCAGTATGTGATCTATTCTGTAGAACGTTCCATGTGCACTTGAGAAGAATGTGTATTCTGCTGCTTTAGGATGAAATGTTCTGTATATATCTGTTAAGTCCATTGGGTCCAGTGTGTCATTCAAAGCCATTGTTTCCTTATTGATTTTTTGTTTAGATGATCTGTCCATTCCTGTAAGTGGGGTATTGAAGTCTTCTACCATTATGATACTATCAATGAGTTTCTTTATGTTTGTGATTAATTGATTTATATATTTGGGTGTTTCACGTTTGGAGCATAAAGGTTTACAATTGTTAGGTCTTCTTGGTGGATAGATCCCTTAATTATTATATAATGCCCTTCTCCATCTCTTGTTACAGTCTTTATATTAAAGTCTAGATTGTCTGACAAAAGTATGGCTACTCCAACTTTCTTTTGTTGACAATTAGAATGATAGATGGTTCTCCATCCCCTTACTACAATCTGATGGTGTCTTTAGATCTAAAATGGGTCCCTTGTAAACAGCATATAGATGGATCTTGTTTTCTTATCCATTCTGTTACCCTATGTCTTTTGATTGGAGCATTTAGTCCATTGACATTTAGAGTGAGTACTGAAAGATAGGAATTTATTGCCATTGTGTCGCCTGTAGAATTGGAGTTTCTGGTTGAATTCTTTGGTCCTTTCTAGTCTTTGTTGCTTTGTTGTTTTTGTTTTGTTTTGTTTTGTTCTGTTTATATTTTTTATTTGTTTTTTTGTCTTTTCTCCCCTCAGAGTGTCCCCCTTAAAATTTCTTGCAGGGCTGGTTTAGTGGTCATTCACTCCTTCAGTTTTTGTTTGTCTGGGAAACTTTTTATCTCTCCTTCTGTTTTGAATGACAGTCTTATTGGGTAAAGAATTTTTGGCTGCATGGTTTTCTGATTCAGCACATCAGATATATTCTGTCACTCCTTTCTGGCCTGCCAAGTTTCTGTGGATAGGTCTGTTGTGAACCTGATCTGTCGTCCCTTGTAAGTTAAGGACTTTTTTTCCCTTGCTGCTTTCATGATTCTTTCCTCACCTGAGTATTTTGTGAATTTGACTATGATATGCCTTATTGATGGGTGGTTTTTGGTGAATCTAATGGGAGTTCTCTGTGCTTCCTGGGTTTTGATGTCTGTGCCTTTCCCCAGGTTAGGGAAGTTTTCCTCTGATTTGCTCACATAAAACTTTTATCCCTATGTGTCTCTCTTCATCTTCTGGGACCCCTATGATTCTGATGTTATTCCTCTTTAATGAGTCATTAAGTTCTCTAATTCTTATATCATGTTCTTTTGCTTTAGTCTCCCTCTTTTTTAATGCTTCATTATTCTCCTTAAGTTTGTCCTCTATATCGATGATGCACTGCTCTGCCTCATCCATCCTTGCCGCCATGGTATCCATTTGAGATTAAAGCTCAGTTATAGCATTTTTTATTCATCCTGACTAGCTTTTACTTCTTTTATCTCTGCAGAAAGGGATTCTAATCTATTTTCAATGCCAGCTAATATTCTTATTATCGTGATTCTAAATCCTGGTTCAGACATCTTGCTTGTATCTATGTTGATTAAGTCCCTGCCTGTCATTACTTCCTGTTCTTTCTTTTGGGGTCACTTCCTTCATTTCATCATTTTGAAGGAAGACAAATAATAAGGTAAAAAAATAAAATTTTAAAAATTTAAAACAACACAAAAATCAAATAAAAGATGCTAGATCTTAGGTGTGTTTTGGTCTGGTTATTAAAAGAAGCTTGATAGAATAAAGAAAAAAAGGAAAAGAAAAGAAAAAAGGAGAAAAAAGGAAAACATTTGAGAATTTGAAAAAACAAATACAATAAAATAGAATGAACTGTGATGATGAAAGTAAAATAAAATTTAAAAATTTACAAAAAAGTGAAAAATATAGTAGAAAAAATTAAAGGAGAATCTTTTTATACAAAAACAAAATAAAAATAAAAATTTTGTCTTTCTGTATTCAAGAATAAAGAAAGAAAAAGGAAAAATAATTGAATAGATGGACCATTGCACAGAATGAAATATGATTTAAATTACCTCCAGTTTCCCCTAGAAGGCAAACTAGGAAGCACTTTATAAGCCATAAACTAAGCTGATGGAGAGACTTTTGGTGTTCTTCAAGAGCACAGTTAGCCCAGTTGGGCGGGCTTAATGTAATGGCTCCTTTCTCCACTAGATGGTGCTGCTTAGCTTACTGGGGTGGATTTCTGTGGCACTTGTAGGTGTGTAAGCACATGCGCGGGAGGGGTAAAAATGGCATCACCCAGCTGCCCAGTCTCCACTGTTGGAACTATGTGCTCTCCCCGTCTGGCAGTCAAGAACCCCTCCTTTGTCTCTGGCCTCTGTCCACTCCCCGCTTCTTCACTGTCCGGGACCAAGCCATCAGTCTGCCAGGTGCAACCTGTCTCCAGAGTTTTATCTCAGATGGGGCTGTGTTTCGCAACCCCTCACTTCTGAGGGACTGCAGCCTTGACCTGTTCAGACCCTCTGGGGGAGGGTCTAGCCAAGAAATGCCAGCCCGCACCCAGGAATCTTCATGTGACTGTGGTGCTGCCAATGTGTAGAGACTGCAGCCTGGTGCCAGCCTGCGTGAAAACGTTCTTGGGATCGTGTAGCATCAGCATTTCAGAGACTATGGCAAATCACAACACACATCTGGCACCAGGTTTCACTTCCAATGTCCTTGTTCCAATACCAGCAAATGTTGCTGATCTCTACCGTCTGTTGGGACCCAGGCCTTTGGTGAGGCCACACAAATTCTACCAAATGTCCTCCCAGCAGAGGAACCGCCACTCCTCATGTGGCCCACTGACCCCTTGGACCTTGCTCTCTGCTCCTGGCGATTCACCCTTCCTATCAGAGCACTGCCAGGTATTGAGCTGCATAGTTTCAGACTCTGTGATCCCTCTGTTTATAGAGTCTTAATGGAATTTAAACCCTCTGCTTTCTCCTTTCTTCCTTTTTTGTTCAGTCTCTTGCAGCTGTTTCCACTCTTCTTTTTTCTCTCCAGCTGCTTTTGGGCGAGGGGTGCTTTTCCCATATTCTCCCCTGTCTCTGTCCTCTCTTGGCAAGCAAAAACAGCTCCCTGCCCTCCACGGCTACTCTCTCCCCCAGTTCACCTCTCCATGCTGTGTACCTGTCGAGTTCTTTGGTTCAGGTTGTGCAGATTGTTGTGTTAATCCTCAAATCCGTTTTGTAGGTGTGCAAGGTGGTTTGGGGTTGATCTCAAGCTGCAGTTCTCTCATGGTAATATAGGCCTGGCATGGGAGGAGGAATGGAAAGTGAGTAAGAATTAAACAAGACACAGTCCCCAGTATCAAAATGCTTACTGTCTAGAGGGTGTAACAGTAAGTCATCATGATGAAGCAGGATAACTATTATAATGGAGGTGCTTCCAAGGGCAAGGGGAGCATGCACTGGGGAAGTCAGCCTGACTGAATCAGTTGAGAACAAGGACAGCGTGTAGGTGATGTTATTTAGTGAGCAACAAGAGCTCTGTCAAATCTCCATGACCTGATAAAAAAGAACCTGTTCAGCAGCTATAGATGGGAAAGGTAGAGTTGGTAGCAGGGAGACTCTCTGACAAAGTCTGGTCTGTTGGGTATTGATGCCAAGAGTCTTTGGACTAATCTTTTTTTAGAATACCATATAATAAATTTATAAGAATAAGATTTTATTAAACTTGACAACAATTATTTTATTAATCCACCAATACATGCACTTGTTTTTTTTAACCAATTAAGAAAAAAATATTGATTTCTTTGGATATATCAAAGCATTATCAAGGTTCTACAAATATTTAAAACTCCTCTCCTTTTAAAGCCTGTCATTATTGCCTAAATGTAGTGATTTATTTGAAAATGATGAAATACTTATAACAAATAATTTCATAGACGGCTAATGTGTGAACTCTTCCTATGAGATGCTAAAAGTCAAATTCCTTTGTTCATATTGTTAAAAAATCACTGATGCAACAAACCTTATAGGCTATAGAAAAGCAAAACTGAGACCCAGAGAGGGAGAGTGACTTGGTAAAGGTCATAATGCTAATTGGCAGACATGACATTTAGAGTTTAAGGTTGACTTCACTGAGCCTTTTTTTGAGGAAATGGATTTTTGCAGAAATCAAACAAGTAATGTGACAGCATAGAGATTTTGCTGGTGGTGAAAAAGGGCTTCAGACAGGAGAGTGGGAGAGGTAGTGAAAGAAGCTGCAGAGACAAGAGCAGGTGGTCTGTGTGATGTGCCTATTAGAGGTTATTTATAACCTCCTCTGTCAGCCAATGAAGTAGGATGGCATAGTGCTTAAACAGACAGATGCTGGAGTTGCCTAGCCTTTTACTATTTATGTGACCTTCATCTATGCACCTAAACTCTCTGTGGCTCAGATATCCCATCTGAAAACTGAGAACAATAAATGATCTCTTAAATCACTGTGCAGTTACAGTATGTTAATTTTAGATGAAGTGCATGGCATATTGTAATCCCCAAGTTAAGATTACTCTCAGTAATTGTGGCAGTGGCCTCCAGGAGGATTGTGTGTGTCCTGATCTTTCTGGTTCAGTGGAGAATTAAGAATTATTGATGAGGAAAGCTTGAATGAGGAGGATCTCAGAGATGAAGTGTTCCACATGTAAACTTGGGATTCTGAGGGGAAAGAAAGTTGTGGAGTACATGCTCCTCTGTGTCACTAGGAGATCAATTGCATACACATGAGTGGATATAATAATACAATCTGGGGAAGTATTTGTAGCGTAAGTGGAAGAAAGATGAAAAACACAGTGTCCTTGTTTTCTGTGGTATAATTGTGAAACTCTAAAATACCAGTCCTGCTAATATTTATTATAAATATATTAGAGATTATTTCGTCGAGCAGACTCACTTTACAGATACAGAGCTCAATATTCAGGAAAGTAGTTTTATCAATATCACATCTTACTTAACTCCTAGAAGAATTGGAAGAGTGTGCTCAGCACTTGGCTCCCAGTCTAGTGAACTCATAGAAATACAGCTGGCCCTATCTAACTAGCATTGGCAGTATTAGTTTATTTTCATTTATGTTGATTTCCTTTCTCCTTGCTAACCCCATCCTGACCCAACAGTCTGAATTTCTTTTTTAGAGAATGGACCAAACTAGGAGGTATCAGAAGTTGGTAACTAGACAGTATCTATGGACAGGACAATAGCCAAGAATCCCTGGAGTTGAGCCTTCTACATGGAGCAGCAGGTTCATCAGGCAAACGGGATGCCAGCACAGCCACTGGAGCCCAACCTGAGACTAGCAAATAGAGTTTGTGCTACAGCATGATATTATAGAGATCTAAGCAGAAGCACAGCCTTAGAAGAATTGTTGTACTGGATTATGAATAAATAATGAGAGGGTTACCCCTTCTTAAAACAGCACAACTGTAGAAAGTTGTGGGAATAAGAAATAAAATAAGCACCCAGTAATTAGTAACGGGCCATAAATAACAGTAGAACCAGCTAACAGGGTCAACTAATGCTGAGCCTCAAGACCCAGCATTGAGCCCTTTACATTTCTCCTTACTTTAAGGATAGGTTGCTAAACCCAGGGAATATAGGAAATGGCAGTGGGTGATGGGCCCTCAGCAATGTTAGTTTAAGTGTGGGCAGAGTCAGGAGTATATGGGCAGAGTCAGGAGAGCCATTAAAGCTGTAATGCACTGCTGGTTGGATGTCCTATGAGTTTATGATCTTGAGTGCAAGTTAGTTCAGTGATTTACAAACTGAGTTGCATACCTGTAGAGTTTCTTGGAAATACTCGTGGTCCTAAGGCAAAAGGGTCAAACACTTGGAAATCTCCTTTTTCATTCCTCTGTTATATGTTTTATAGAGTTTTATATAAATTTTATTTAAGGGCTAACAGCACTGCCAAATATAATAATCAAATTATAAAACTGTTACTGAATACCTTGACTTCCGTCTTCCCTATCATATCTTTCCTGTCCCGAGTTATGCTTTTTTCAGGGCTTATTTAAAAACTGGCAAATTTTATAAATTTACTTGATCTCAAATGTTAAGTGATAATAGCTTAATTCATTCATTTATTCATCCATAATGTGTCTAATAATCCTTTCAGCAACCACTGAGGAGATATAAAGCACATAAGAGTAACAATCCTGTGTGGAAATTGGCGTGCAAAAGAACAGTATAGCATTGTATAAAAAGAGACAGGAATTCTATGGAGGAGCAGGCTTGCTCGTGGGGAGTTGATGCTAGGGGACAGTCAGGAACTTCCTGGAGTATATACATTGTGAGGAGGGCATGTTTGTATTAATCACACAATAAGTAACTTAGGCTCTTAGAGAAAAACATGTTCAAGGGCACATTGGGGTTAAAAAAAATCAGTAACTGAATGTCTTGTGCTGGTTACTACATTTACCCTGAAACGATGTTCCTCATCATGACTGGGAAGCTAGGTTTTGAGAATGTGCAGGTAATAATAGTCTTTCTGGTGGGCTAGTGGGGAAGCTGTCTTGGGTATGACCATAGTGGGTATGACCCACTAGTCTACCTCCCTTGTCTTGTTACAGCTAGCCCCAGACAGTACATCTTGGCTCTTGTACCAGTGGAGTTTTCCTGATTTTTCTTAAACACATAAACTACCACTTAATGTTATTTTTAAAAAAACAATTTTTTTAGAACTGTATAAGCCCAAGTGAACATGACTATTCTGGAAAAAAGCCTTGGACTATAATCCTTTAACAATAGATCAAGTAAATTGTTATAATCACAGATATTGTGCAGTTGGTACCATCACATGGACAGCTCCAGAGGGCATCATTTACAGTATTTTCACAGCAGTATTCTTGGGCCCCAGCTTCAGAAAGGACTCATCTGACAGGCAAATTAATACCTCGTACCATTCACAATGGGATATTGTATGACATTTTGTTTTTAAAAAGTAGCAAGAATGTTCATGAAAAGTCTGATTTGGGAAGGGATGAATTCATTTATAGACATACAAAAAAGACAGAGGAAGCTTTAAAGTAGAAACTTCCAAGATGAAGAACAGAATGGAACATACTAAGATAAAAATGAATTTTAAGAGATAAAAATGCAGAGCTGTTTTGTGGCTTGAGATGCCATCTCATCACAAACAAGGAAAATAATCCAGAAGGTGCGTGCCCCTCCTTTATGCTTTTCTTTCCCTTGGGAGCCCACTTAACATTTGTTAGATTATCAGGGATGAGCTTCACTTACACACCTGCATAGCAACTTGTATTACTGATGAAACCCATGAGCAAAAGTCTCTCAGTGGGAAGAACAAGAGGAGTCAGCAGTGATAATTAAAGAGCAAGAATGGAAGAAGTATGCACCTGTGATTTATGACTCAGTGGCTTTGGAGTAGATTGTTTTCTGAATGTTGTTTTGTTTCTGTGTTTTGGTTAGTTGCTACTTTTTTTTAATCTCCCCTGTAGTTTGAATCTTATTCATGATATTTGTAATGCCTTTTGGTCTGTGATTGCTTAGCTCAAAGAGTTAAAGCAAGGATAGAATCCTAATGGGACCAATTTAATGTGGTTAGGCTTCTGTGAAATAGACTCTGTTAATTATACCACTCCCTTGGTTCCTGGTCTCCTAAACAGTGTAACATGGTCAGGAGGAGATGGGTCTAGGTGATGAATTAAAAATCAGAACAAAAATGTCACATGAACCAGAAAACATGCACGAAAATAGCTTCTCTCCCCCCCCCCCCTTTCAGAAACAAATGGGTTTAGGAAAGACATTACCTATAGCAGCAATGCAGTGAATATTGTTAGCCCACTCTGATACTGAAAAGAGGCAATAAATGTCCAACAGAAGTCTACTGAAACTGCCTTTGCTATGTTCTCAACTATCTTATGCTTCTTTAGTGTCAGGTCATGGGAATAAAAGGTGCAGCACAGGGAACATAGTCAATGATACTGTAATGTACTGTATGGTGACAGATGGTAACTATACTTGTAGTGAACATAGCATAACATATAGAGAGGTTGAGTCAGTATGTTGTACACCTGAAACTAATGTAACATTGTATATCAACTATACTCAAATAAAAAATTAAAATTAAATTTAAAAAATTAACATTGTCCTGGCTACCACCAGAGAGTATATTTTGATTTTATCCTCAGAGACTTCAATCGGATCATAGAAAAAGAAACAAAAAACAGCAACAACTTGAAAACTCAAAACAACACGTACTATGAAACTACACAACGTAAACAGGTCACAAAAGTGAATTAGGAATCAAAAT